GAGGGGGCAGCTGCTACCTTTCACAGATTTCATAGGTATTAGGGCTGGAAGGAACCTCAGAAGATCAAGTCCAGCCCCCTGCCCGAGGAGCAAGAAGTCAGCTGGGGTCATAGGATCCCAGCAAGATAAACATCCAAATGTCTCTTGAAGGTGTTCAAAATAGGTGCTTGAACCACCTCCAGCGGCAGTCAATTCCAAACCTTGGGGGCTCGGACAGTAAAGAAGTTCTTCCTTATGTCCATCCTGAAATGCTCATGGAGGAGTTTGGGACCGTTCGACCTTGTCAGACAGACGTTCCCCCAGAACCTGGTGAGCACCCCTGATAAACTTAGATCACCCTGGGATTTGCTTGAGAAGCATCTATGCATGCAAGCCAGCGTTTTGCTCGCTTTACTAGCTGCAGCATCACATTGATGACTCATGCTCATCTTGTGGTCAATCATGGCCCCCAAGTCCCTTTCGCCCGTAGTGCTAGCCAGCGTAGCACTGCTGAGCCTATAAGCATGCTGCAGGTTTTTCTTCCCAAGGTGGAGAACCTTGCATTTTTCAGTGTTAAACACCATCAGGCTCTCGGCCATCCATTTCCTGAGCCTGTTAAGGTCAGCCTGGATCGCCCTCCCGTCCTCAAGTGTGGACACTTTATCCCAAAGTTTGCTGTCATCGGCAAACTTGACCAGTCCGCTTCTGATACCAATGTCCACATCATTAATGAAGATGTTGAATAGTGTAGGCTCAAGGACAGAGCCTTGGGGGACCCCACTGGCCACAGTGCACCACGACGATTGATTTCCATCAACCACCACCCTCTGGGTCCAACCACGGAGCCAATTCCGCAGCCAATGGATCATGGTGAGGCCGAGGCCGAAGTTAGACAGTTTTGCTAAAAGATGATCATGGGATACCAGATCAAAGGCTTTCTTAAAATCAAGATATATAACATCAATCTCTTCTCCTTTGTCCAGGTGATAGGTCACCTGGTCATAAAAGGAAATAAGATTGGTCAAGCAAGACCTACCCACAACAAACCCATGCTGGTTATCCCTCAGGATGCTGCCACTGGCCAGTCTGTTAAGGACAGCCTCTTTGATAATCTTTTCTAAGACCTTCCCCAGGATGGAGGTCAGGCTGATGGGCCTGTAGTTTGCCAGATCCACTTTCCTCCCTTTCTTGAAAATAGGCACCACATTGGCCTAACAATGTTTGGACACTTCACTAGAGCGCCAGGAGTTCTCTAAGATCCGTGCCGGGGTAGCTCCTTGAGTACCTTGGGGTGTAAACTGTCAGGGCCGGCTGACTTGAAGGTATCCAGCCACTCAAGGTGTTCCTTCATGAGGTCAGCATTGATGGAGGATAAAGAAGCTCCCTCACCTGGACCTTCACGTCCCATAATGGGCAGGGGCATCCCATGGGACTGGTGGAAAACGGACGCAAAGTACCCATTTAGCAAGGTGGCTTTTTCCTGGGCATCGGCTGTCAGTTGTCCCATTTGGTTTAGTAGGGGTTCAACATTGCCCTTGCTTTTCCCCCGGCTCCCCACATATCTAAAAAAGGACTTTTTATTGTCTTTGATACTAGTGGCCAGTTGGAGTTCCGTCGCAGCCTTGGCTTTCCTGGTTCACTCCCTGCAGGACCAGACCAGTGCAGAGTATTCCTCCTTGGAGGTGGATCCCATCCTCCATCCTTTGTAGGTCTGTCTTTTTAGATGCAGGAGGTCCGCTAGTTCCCTGGAGAGCCAAGGGGACTACTGTGCCCTTTTGCTGCCTTTCCTCCAAGATGGAACAGACTTTGCTTGTACATCCAGGATCACTCCCTTGAGGAGCAACCACTCATCCTGAACTCCACTCCCCTTTGGGTCGTGGCCCTTTAGGGCCTCACTGACAAGCCTCCTGAGCTTGTCAAAGTCAGCTTTCCTGAAGTAAAGGACTTCTGTACTGCTGACTGACTTGCCAGCTTTCTGGCAGATGGTGAAGGCGATCAGGTCATGGTCACTGTCACCCAGCTTCCCTTCGATCGTTAGGTCACTGATTAGGTTGTCCTCCATTACCAGGTTGAGCAGCACTTTACCTCTCACCAGCCCGTAGACTTCTTGTATCAGATAGAGCTCATCCACGCACAAGAGAAAGCTTAGCGACCATGTGGATTTGGCTGAGCACTCTTCCCCGTAGATGTCTGGTTAGTTGAAGTCTCCCATGACAACCGTGCACCAGGAGCATGTGGCCTCAGCCAATTCCCTAGCAAACTCCTGGTCAAGCTCGCGATCCTGGGTAGGAGGTCTGCAGTAGACTCCCACCATTGTGTCCCCTGTGCCACGTTCCCCACGGATTTTAACCCAGGGGGTCTCCAGTCGTCCACCCTGGGTGCCAATGTCAGCTTCCAGGGACATGTAGCTTTCCTTGACATAGAGAGCTACCCCCCCGCCCCTTTTGTCCACTTGATCTCTCCTGTATAGGGTATAGCCGTCTATACCCGTGGTCAAGTCATAGGTGGAGTCCCACCAGGTCTCCATTATCCCTATGACATTGTAATTATTTGTGTTAAGCAGGAGGACAAGTTCCTCCTGTTTATTCCCCAAGCTCCTGGCATTTGTGTACAGGCACGCAAGTATCCCTTGGAGGGCCCTTGCCTTGCTCAATGCTCGTTCCAGGGCTGGGGCAGGGGTGGGCTCCCTTAAGTGCCTTGGTCTGCTGGCTTTGCAAGGGTTGTTCAGCAG